CTACCTTATTCTGCCCCACCACAGACGTCATTGGCACCCCTGGTAGAGAGGCACAAAGGACGAAGGACATACGTCTCAGATGAGAGCTGTACTAGTCTACCAGATGGTCTACACGGATAAATCAAGAATAATGAATGATTGCGAGGTAAATAGTTCTCTGACCAGAGATAGATAGATCTTTCAGGTCCAACGATATCTACAGACAAACTTTTTTTTTTTTCTCAATTCATAAATCATCGCACGTACCCAAACCATAGTGTCTAATTGATTCTTTTCCTGCTCAGGGTCTCATCATTTGGCAACAACAAGGGCGCAAACCCTCATTGTGCTCCGGGGTATCGTCTAAGTCATCCATAATGTCCTGCTTTTGTGGCGAAGGCTCTATTCATTAAGTATTCGGTATGTTTCGTTGTGAAGTCATCAAGCCGTTAATATTCAGATGTCGTGCAAGGTGATTACAGCTGCTCAACCCAGGGGGCAACGCCGGGCTGCATCTGGTTCAGCCACTTGACGAGCTCGACGAGCTCGGCACGGCGCTCGTCCTCAAGCTGGTCCGAATCGCCACAAAGGACAGACTGGAAGATGGGCAGGAACTGCGGGGTAAGCTCCCGGATGTTAGGGTCTTCCCACTTGTCTACAAGCTAGTCAGTAACGTTCTTGCTCGTTCCGAATAAGGTGGGATCACATACACAGCTGGCAGATCATGCGGTACAGGGGCTCGTTCTCCTCGTAATCGTTCTTCAGGGGGAGGATGGAGACGAGGACGGGAAGAACCTCCTTGAGAGGGATGGCCTCACGGTGCTTGAGGATCATACGGCTGAGACAGCCAGTAGCGTTGTCCTGAAGGCGAGAGACCTTCATCTGCAGACACGACTCCAACCGGGAAAGGATGGTAGGGTACTCCTTGACGATCTCGGCGTCTGCGGTGGAGTGCTCGACAAGACGGCCAACAGCATAGGCAGCATTGGACTTGGTCTGAGGATCCTCATCACCCAGGCGGTGGATGAGCAGCTTCAGGAAAGGACGAGTGAACTGAGTGACACCAGCGCCCATACCGTTGATGCACTCGGCAAGGACACCAACGGCGGTGGCACGCTCCAGAGCCTCAGTGCTACCGGCGTAGCGGAGGATAGTCTTCTCGAATACCTTCCAGAGTTCGGCGAAGCTCCCGCCCAAAGCGGCAGCGAGACCGGAAACAACGTCGAGAGCAGTGTCAACAACAACCCAGTCGAACTCAGAACTCTCCTCACCGGCCTCGAGAGACTCCTCTTCAGGGCCAAACTCGAGCTGGCAAGGGTGCTTCTTCGTGATGATGTCTGTGACCATCTGGATGACGTTGTGGAGAGTGGTCTCGTTGGCAATCAGAGAAGGACCGCAGTAGCGCAGGTTCTCGGCCATGTTACGGTTGATATCGGCGACAGTAGCCCTATGTCAAATGGTCAATACCAATCAAAAATCGACATGAAAACAATAAGAGCAGTGAAATCAAGGCCTCAGGTTTCGTTGGAAAGAATCGTGTTTCACATCACGCACGCATTTTGCGCGTCTGAGTGAGCTGGGTAAACGAGTGGGTTCATCATTGGAATCGGCATGCTTGTGCAAAGCAGCCATCGTGTAACATGCAGAAAGGAAAGAAAGAGATATACATACCGATCATCTTCCTCAGTCCACATCTTGATGGTAGCGGTCATCAGGATTTCGCCGAACTTCTTGACCTCCTTGGCGGGCTCGACCTGCAGAGGCAGACCAGGCTTCCACTTAGCCATCTGCCCGGTCTCTTCGGCAATAGCAAAGAGCATGGCGTACGAGCGGTGCAGAGTGCTGATGGTGCTACGACGAACACCCTCGTAAGGGTGCTCAGCCAGAGGCAGGACCTGCTCAATGGTCTTCTCGAAGTAAGGCAGGTAGGCGCTCTTGGTGTGCGTGACGAGATCACCAATGACCTCAACGGCGATTTCCTTCTCTAGAGACAAGGGTGTGGTGGCGGTAATGTCGTCCCAAGCATCCTCGTCGTCGAGATCAACGTCTTCGATGCCGCCATCTTCTCCGACGGGCTCATCGTCATCATCGGCACTGGCAACCTTGACCTTGCGGCCAGCGATGATCACCTCCTGGCCAACGAGGTCCTTGGCGGCCTCACCAAGAGATACGTCCAGGTCAGTCTCGTCCTGCTCAATGCAAGCGAAGAGACCCTTGACCACACCATCAAGGAAGGGAGCGAAGTGCTCTCCATAGACCTTGGACATAGCTCCCCAGAAGATATAGGTGCTCTCCTTGAGACGGGAGTGGTCGAGGTGAAGTGCCTCCTCGGTGGCGCGCATGAGAGGCTCGACATAGGGCTGGTAACGCTCGGCACCGGCGGCAGCGGACATTTCACCCATAGCGTCGGTGACACTAGCGCGCAGGTCCAATTCCTCCTCACTATCCTTGACGGTGGCAAACTCCTGCAGGAGGTGCATGGACTCGTCGAAGTAGGGGAGGAAAGACTCGCCGGCGGAGGAGGCAAGGGAGCCCAGAGCTCCGGCAGTCAAGCCCTTGATTCTGAAGTCGGGGTGCTTGAAGAGCTTGTGCAGGATGGGAACGAGTTCGCCCTGGTAAGGAGCGACGTCCTTCTCGTCCAAGCCATCAACAACGGCATCAATGGCGCTGATACCGGCCTTCATGATATCAATAGTGGGGCCATCCTCCTCACCCTTGTATTCCTGCATAGCGCTGGCCAAGTTCTTGAAGAGCAGAGGCATGAGCTTTTCGTGCTCAGCACTCAGATCTTCAGCGAGGTCATCGGCGAGACGAGCCACAGCGTGCAAGGATGCTTGGCGGACCTTGGGTTCGGGATCAGCGAGCAGCTGCAGAACCATGGGGAAGATGTCCTTCATCTGAGTGCTGATGAAGTCAGGAGCCCCCTCAACACACATTCCAAGAGCCATGATACCGGCCCGGCGGTAGTCAGGGTTGCTGTTGTTGAAGTACTGACCCAGGGCGTGAAGAAGGGGCACAACAACTTGGCTGGGAGGTAGACTCTGGGCGAGCATGTCAAGCAAGCCGAGAGCGGACCGGGCGGGAGTGATATCGTCATCGTCCGAGGAAGTGTCACCGAGCTCAGTGACAATGTGCAGAGCGGTGCGGGTGAGCTGCTCGCCAATACGCATGCCCTGGATCTTGAGCTTACGGTACTGAACGCACTGCATGAGGAAGCTGATGGCCTGGGTACGAGTATCCTCGTCGACCTCGGTGTTGGCAGCCAGCTCGTTCATGAAGATGACAAGGTCCTTAAGGTGGACAGTCAGGAGAGCAGGGTCACAGCCAAGGAGAGTCTGGAAGACCTCAAAGGCCTGCATAACACGGTCCTCCTGCTTCTGGTCGATCGAGTCCTTCAGAACAGCGACCATGGAGGGAACGATGTCCTGGAAGGCCTTGACGGGACCAACATCCTCCTCGGAGTCAAGGTGCATGGCAAGCTTGCTCAGGGCGAGAAGGGTGTTGACGCGGACTTCCTCGCTCTCAGGGTCGCGGATGGTCTTGTTGAACAGGGCAAAGAGATCCGAGAACTTCTCCTCGAGGCTCTCACCCAGTGTCTCCAGAATGGTAAACAGAATGTAGATAGCCACACCACGCTCATCCTTGTTGCCACTGTTACCAGCCTGCACCAGGAAGTTGGGCAGCTCGGCCCACTCCCCATCGTTCAGGTCGACCCGAGCGACGGCAGAGATGATCCGGGCAATAGAGTGACGGACAAGTGAAGAGCCCTCGCTCATCGTGGAGCGCAGTAGCTGCTCACGGATCTGAGGCTTCTGGGCAGCCTGGACCGAAACCCAGTGCTTGTTGACCAACGAGCGAGACTCGACAGCGGCCAGCTGCCTCAGATTGGGATCCTCATGACCGGTGGCGATCTGAATAAGGAGAACGAGAGATTCAGGCTTGTTGTAGAACTCCCGCTGCAGGATACCGGTTGCTTCCTTGACGTTGCCCTGGGCAGCTATTGTATTCTCGTCAGCATACTTTCCAAAGTCACTCGTCGGGTTCATGGACGCTACTCACGGTTCAGAACAACTTGAAGCTGCTGCAGGAATCTCTGCTGATCCATGATGGAAATATGAATAAAACTTTTGTGGGAAAAAAATATGTACGCCTCTCAAAACTGGGGTGTCCCAACCCTTCTTTAATAGCAAGAAGGGATTCTCGTACGACTAATTGAGCTGCCTGCGCAGAGACAAACAGCTCAAGGGGGTATCACAGAAACAAAAGAAAGGATAGAAACACCAAGAAAAGGAATGAGGAGTAAAAGGAAAGGAGAGATGAGGGACACTCAGGAGGAGAAGAAGATAAGAGAGAAAAAAAAGTTCTCACTAAGGGGTGGGCTATTTGGATAATTTTTCTCTTGGTCCCTCCCCTTTTACTTTCTTCAGGCTAGCGGCATTGTGATCACGTGAGCTGTGCCGCTCTGGTTGATCATAAACTGTGGATGCACAACGTCAACAAGAGACTTAGTAGACAGGTAAGACCCGAAGAAGTACCTACCAACTGGTTGGAGTAAATAGTCGCTGTCGCACCAAAGAGCAATGGGGTTCACATTTCCAGGATGACCTTGATTCAGAAGGTTCTGCGTTGTCTGTTCTGCATAAGGTCGATGGCTCAGAGAACAATGCCAGTAAATGTTGTGATTAACTGTTATATTATTACTACTCTTCCCATATCGTCTATCAGCTACCAGTATATAGTTGCATGATACTCTAGTGTTTCAGGCTGAAGTACGATAAACAAGGAACGAGCAAGAGCTATCAATAAAAATTGAATAGCAAAAGCCAACAATTGCGAATTAACCCCGCATAATCCTATACTCCATCTCTTGCCCGAAAGATGCATCAATATCCCTCAAGGGACATGGGCATGGACACCAAATAAAGGAGCAAAATGTGCATAGTACAAAATTGTAGATAAGCCAGCATCATCCATACGTGAAATCAAGCGAAACATAGGCTATGGGATCATGTAGAGCATCGCTAGAATTCTTCAGAGTCGTAGTCTTCGTCAACAAGCAGGGCGCGATAACCCCTGGATGCAAGGTTTTCTTCCAAACCACCGTCGGATCCGGGATCGGCATAACCTACATTATAGTTAGACATGCAGGAATTTGGACAGGACGATTCAAAAGATGCAACCAAAATAAACTTACCTTCGCCACCAAAATAACTGAGTACCACAGGCAGGAAGATGAGGGCATGGGTAGCGGCAAAGATGACCAATGCTAGCCAGACACGGAAATAGTAGATTTCAAAGATCTTGCTGCGGGTGAATGCCAGCACACAAACCCCGAGTAATTTGGTGATAGTGATGCCACTGAAGACACTGCCACCCACATTGACCAACGCAGTCCAGGCTCGTGCATCTTTGCCCCGGAACTTGGTGGGTGTCTTGTCCATTATTGTGCGTGAAGGGAACATGAATGCTCGAGCAATATGGGCGCAGAACTCGACACCGATGCCGACGCAAATAACCAGGTTGACTAAGGAGACGGCATTGAGTGATACCCCAGAAACAGCCATGGAGCCAATAATATCCACAACAATCATCACTACCGTAGCAGTTACTACCGCACCGGTGGCGACAGAGCCTAAGATGATTGACGTGATAGTGAAGATTATGGCAATAGCACAGCCGAGCAAAGTGCCTGTGAGCCGCACAATCGAGACATACTGGTCGAAAAAGATATAAGGTTTGGAATAAGGGAACACGTCTATGCCGTGTTCTTTGGAGATCCCATCCGCGATGCGACGGGCTGAGATGTACGCCTTGATAAAGTCATCCTGACTCCTCAGAGGGGTATGGCTGGTTCTGAAATGGCTCGCATTGGTCATGACGTGCTTTGAATCGATGACAAGCGCGTTACTATATGGGGCTTTGCCGCCGAGAGGGCAGGACGCATCCGTGGGTGCTTCAATCCACTTCTCCAAATAGTGGATAAACTCGTTTCCTGTGGGCATGCCGTCGAGAGAGATATTCCATGCAGGAGTCCGGTCCTCAAAGCAGACCTTCCCATCTTCCTTGCAGCATTCTTGCTGGGGATTCAGCCAATAAAAGAAGTCGTCGACCCAACTTGCGGCTGACCCCGAGATATAGGAGACATTCGGTCGCTTAGACTCCTGCTCCAAGACAAACGACAAGGAGAATTCTTCGCAGGTCGTAAACCGTCCACAGAGCTGCTGCTGGTGTTTTCTCTCGGTCACGTTGACTTCGCGGGTCACAAAGTAGACTGGAGGACCGGTGCCAAAGTAAGCATCTAGGTCATTGAAATACTCTACCAGATACGAATCGCTTGGAAGAGCGATACGCTGATCCAATCCGAGAGACACTTCCGGGATAAGAGCCAAGCCAGCAGTGAATATGCCGAGGAAGACGATCACAACAGCAACCTTAATCCTGCGGTCAAGCAGGTAGTTTGCATATATTTTGCGAATAAATTGCTGCGTCAGACTTTCCCCCTCCTGGTCCTCATAAGCGGGTTCTTCGAACATGCCGGATGAAGTCGCTTTGCGCACTGTAATGCATGGAATGCAATCTGCACGAAGACTCTCCACCCGCCTTTGATTCAGAGCCAGTACTGAAACAAACATCGTCATTTGCAGAATGGCATTGATGAAGACAGCACCAGCTGCATAGATGGCAAAGTTCTTGACGGCAGGCATGCCCACAAACACACCGAGTGCAAAGGCGACCGTCTCCGTCAGGGCCGATAGGAAAATGCTGGGACCAATCCTTCCTACGGCACGAGCAACCCGCTCATCAATCTCTTCATCGGGGTGACTGACATTTATCCGCTCAAATTCATGAACGATCAGGAAGATATTGTCCACGCCGACCGCCAATACAAGGAAGGGAATGACCTCGGCGATGATCAAGGTCACCCTGATTCCTGCTGCTGAAAACAGTCCTACCGACGCAGACACGGACATAAGGACGATCAAGATTCCCACAATTCCGAGCGTGAATTTCGACTGCACAAAGACATTGGCAGGGTTGTTCAAGAGAGACTTCCAGGTGACCGTCGCTGAGCCTAGAGCAAGGGACGCATAGATAAACATGATGATATAGCTGATGACGACAATCTTCGCATCGGTGTTGCTGGATTTGTTGAGTTCCTGCTCCAGGCTGACTTCAGTGTTGAATGACACACGAAGACCACGTTCTTTCGCGTCTTCTTGAACGTTATATAACAGCTGTTTGAGATTGTTCTCCCAGTCAATGGCGTCGGCCTCGCTCTCCGTACCTTGGGCGTAATTGTTCAGAACCCACGTAGTAATCAACGCTTGAGCGTCGAGGACGTTTCCCGACTCTTCGTGACCACCCAGTATCATTTCAGGCCTGAGAGGCTGTTGGAAGTCAGGGAGACAGCTCGGGTCACCAGGAGAGCTGGCACAGTGCTTAACCCGCTCCTCCCATGTGTCCGGGTGGAGGTTCCATCCTGAGCCGCCGAAATAGCCCGTTATTGACTGAACCACACACGCGTCCCCGGTGGGTTTAAAGCAGACGTCGTCGAGTAGTAAACTGCGACCTGGAGAGATCATTCGACGAATTTGAGATTCAACATCAATCCACCAGCTGAGCGTGTCATAACTCAGAACCGGTCCATGTTCGTTGACAACAAATACCTGCTCCGCTCGGTAAAAGGGTCCAAAGTTGGTATCAAAGTACTCCTTTTCTTGCGCTGCTGCCGATGTAGGGCTCACCCAGAGGCGTACAGGATCTGTCTCGACAGCGAACCGGAGCCAACCCAGACTCAGAAGGCCAACGAGCACTATGCTAGTTACAATAGTGATGGCTGGGAATCGAGCGCAAGTACCCCCAATGCTATTGAACATTGCGTCAAGCATAGAGTTCACTTTGTAAATGCCGGAAGGTTGCTCCAGCGACCCAGCAGCATGAACGATATCGCCCTCATCCTCATCGTCATCAGGAGATGGGTCCTGTAGGAGCCGAACCCTCTCGGGCTTGCGATAACGTCGTTCTCTGTACGTGAAGTAACTAGAAAAGGCCACGACCGCTAGTAAGAATATGGAGTAGATCAGGATGACCGCGAAGGATAGACAAGGCAACAAGCCGACGTGGCAGTATTTGTCTGTTTTCACCTCTGGTAACTCCGGGCAGACTTCTGGACAATCAACGCAGGAGCAGCGGAATGCCTCGTCAGGGTCATTGCAGGCCTTCGGTTTGATAGGCAAGGCTCTCATGCCCCGATCGGGTGACGGGGGCTCTGTTTTGTAGTTGATCTGGAAAGGACTTCCAAGCAGCTTCTTGTCGCCCAGGAACTTCAGGAATTGTGTGTAATTCTTCGCGCCGCCGCCGATGAAGTCGATGGCTTTGCCACCAGAAGCACCATTTTTTACGTTCTTGCAACTATCATAGAAGCCGCTCTGGTATTCTTCGGACCAGACGTTGTCAAGTTCGGTAACAAGCAACTTTCCGGAGCTGGCCTTCTCGGTTTGTGTGACATTGATGAATAGAGACTGATCCGGAGAACAGGTAAAGGTACAGAAGATGTTGAAGAAATTGTCTTTGCACGCAGGACATGATGCAATAATGCCCTCAGCAAGCTTCAGGTTCTTGGCGAGTGCATCGATCTAGGCAGGAGAAGCACATGAGAATCGTCTCGCTTGAATGGGTTTGGTTGGGACAATAATTCTTACCTGCTCTTCTTCACAACAAACAGGCCCTTCATTCCATTTGCTACCGCACAAGTTCACCAGCTTCTTCCTCGCCGATACCTCGGGCTCCCTTGCAGGACCGTTATCTGGACACGGCAGCTCTCCGCCAAAGAACGACTTTTTCCCGCAATGTCCTCGGATCGCACAGCGGCCCTCTTCGTGTATCTTGGTTTCTCCTTCAGCAAGGACAAGGGTGTGAGGAAGGAACGACAGCAGGCCGAGACTCGTGAGGATCGGGGTAAAGCGCAGTCCCCGCATCGTCGGGACAAAGAGTTGGTGACGAATCCAATGTCAAACACGTAGGGTTTTCGTGATTTAATTAGAGCATTAGAGAAAGATTGGCTGATGTAGAAAGATGCTGGGATGCTAGATTCTATGGTTCACTCGCCGAAGACAAGGTCTTTTTTAAGGAACAGCTCCTCGAGCAGGTGGTGTCGCGAGCCGAGGATATAATAAATTCGACAAAGACAGTGCAGTCTTGAACGTAGCACTGCACCAATACAAGTAACAAACAAATAACGATTAATCCGGTTAATATCGAATAGTCTAGACGACAAGGGACAGTGAAGCTATTGAGAGGCTGGGGAAGAGGCGATGGGGATATGACGATAAGGGAATCAAGGAACGGCCAGTTGGAGGACCTCCACTAGCCGACATACGTAAGCGGAGAAGGGCTGCCATCATCCCGTGAAGGATGGGGTTCATCGGGCGCTAACGTCAGGCACGTCGATCCTTGGATGATCAGGATAGATTAATCCAATCCTTTACATGTCGACCCAGTATTTCTGTGTTGGTTTTCGATTAGATTTTACATATTACCGAAACCTCAATTCCAATCTAGCATTTTGAGAGGAGATACTGCTGTAGACTTTGGAGGGAAGACAGCAATACACAGACACGTAAGTTAGGTTGCTATGTTGTGTACCCAGAAGTATATAATTTCGTCAATTTTCTGACTAGAACTGGAAGCTTCTCCTGGTCCTGTTCCCCCCTCGGCCACATAATGGGTTGAAATCTTACAATTCTTTTGACTGTGGGTGACAGTGAACAATCACTCTGTACATTGTTTGGCCTTGTCAGACTATATGCCTAGAACACCAGACCACCTCCTATAGACCTGTTAGCACCTTAATATGACTTGGACCAGACGGAAGAAAATACCATCAACGACAATATCAGCTCCATTGATATAGCTCCCCCCAATATCACTGCAAAGAAACACCACCGGTCCCGTCAGCTCTTGCGGTGACCCCATCCTACGCATCGGATTCCGATCCGCCCATATCTGCCGCCATGGCGCAAGATCCTCGCCCTCGTTGAGCACCGTATCCATATATCCCGGGGAGATGGAATTGACTCGAATTCCGTATTGCGTCCATTCCGCTGCCAAGCTATTCTTCATGTGTAGCACCGCTGCCTTGGAGACGTTGTACGCGATCTGTGGCTGGGGGTAATTCACCCGATGACCGCTGATGGATGCGACGAGGACGATCTTGCCCCCGCGTCCACTGGCAATCATATGTCTGGCTTCTGCGTCAGGGGCATAGCTCACAGAGGGACATGGTAGATCGCCTTACTTTCCCACTGCTTGTGCAGCGATCCATGAGCCTGTCGTATTTACATCAATGACACGGCGCCATTGCTCGACTGTTATGTCCTCGGCTGCCACGCAGTTGACTATGCCCGCAAAACAACAGAGAATGTTAAGCTCTCCCAGCTCGTTCTTTGCCTTTTCAGCAATGTCCTGCATGCCTGCTGCGTCTGTGACGTCGCATTGATGCGTTATAATCTTCGCAGAAGGAAAGTCGTTTCGAAGTGATTCTATTTCAGCGTCTCCCTTCTGGAGAGCCGAGGGAAGATCAAGCAAAACAATGCCAGACAGTCCATGCTCAAGAAGCGCTCGTGCAGAGGCTAGAGCGAGCATTCCTGCTCCACCAGTAACTGGACGAGAGTAAGATATCACCTAGTCTTGACTGATGGAAATCAAAGGGGGTAGGACCAACACACTGCGTTTCCGCTCACTCTGAATCTCAAAGCTGCTCGCTGCTCGGGCGTGCTGGTCTCTGGGAATGAGGCCGGTGGAGGCGTTAGAGTAGTAGCTGAGTCGATCTCTCCGAGCCGTATCCATGGCATCCTTGTCTGCACATGAGGTGTTGGAGGGAGAGGCGCTTCTTTCTTAGATGCAGTCATGGCCAATAGAATTACTGATAATACTGTGATTCTGTAAGATAGGATTCACAAGAAGCTTCAATAGGAATTGCAACCTATCTATAGTGCTGCGGAGAAGGGGAAGAGAGGAGTAGCTTACCCCGCGCATGATCGACTCAGCACGCGCAAATGCAATTTCATCCCATTATTTCATTGATTGTAGCTCTATCTTCGGACTGCAGTGCCCCGAGCGTGTCAGAGTCGTTGAGCATTTCATACGCGAGTCCAATACGCAAGCCTGTCCCGTGATTGGAGATAATGTCCACTACAGAGTCAACAGCTTCGACATATATCTTTCACATCGATTAAAGTCTACAATGGCATTCTCAGTGGCTACTTATCAAGAACAGATCTACCTCAACAACATACACCGTCCATCTTCTCGCGCTCACTTCCCATCTACCTTCCTTCTCTTCGCCCCCTTCTTCGGACCAAACTCCTCAGAATAAGACCGGAAAAAGTCTGCCGGCTGCTGGGGCTCATCCGAAGTGACGTCGCGAAATGCCGTCGTGGCAACATAGTTCGTCTTGCCCTCACGGACGAGCGAATAGTATTCCAGTATAAACTGAATCTCACTGTCGTCGGTATCCGTCTGGCCCCTGAGGACCTTCTTGGCTTCATACCTGTTTCTGTGAGTCCCAATTCCAATAGAGGATTAACGGGGACGACTAGACGACATACTCAGAGATATCTTCAAACTTCATATCCGTCCCCAGAGCTTCGCTTGCCGCTCGCGCTAGCTCGTCGCCGTTGAGAAGTGCCGGGCCTGTTGTGTCAATCGCTTTCACTCCACAGTGATAGCATTAGGGCCGCCATACCAGTCAAGGTCATTAGTTGACCACGATGCTTATCATTCAATCCGTTCTTTCCTTTGCCGGTGAGGACATGAGCGGCTAGTAGTGCGACGTCCTTGACAGTAGTTTAGCCAGAGGTTATTGTGCGCTGAGAGCCAGACTTACACCTAGTGCTACGGGGGGAAATTTATGCTCGCGTCCGATCGGTATAGGGATGTATCCCTCCTCTTTCGCCTGGGGGGCATAGGCAAGCAAGTTCTCAGCGTAGAAGCCAGCCCTGCAACAGGTATCATTAGACATGCAAACTGCAATCACAAGGAAGCAACCTACCGAATGACAACAGGACAATGCCCCGTCATCGAGCTCGGATCCCCCTTCGTGCTCAGGAACAAAGTCTCGAGATGAATAAACTCCCTCAGACGGGGCTGCTTATCCCGCTCAGCGAGATCACATCCCGCAGCACTGAGGAAGACCACGTTGGGCACATTGGCGCGCTTGGCCGCCTCGATCATCTCGGCCGTGATATCGATCTTGTCCCGACTAGCTGGCGGGACCAGGCAGAGAGTGTCGGCTTTGGTGTCTCTGATGTCGGCGGCGACGTTCTTCAGACGGCCTGGTCTATGGGGGACGATGGTGGCGCCTAGGGATTGTAGGTCCTTGCACCGCTGGGCATCCGGATTGAGGGTTAGGCCGTGGACGGTGCCGATTTCTTTAGAGAAGTTCTCGTCAGAGAGGAGGAGCTCGGCGATGAGGAAGCCTGTGTTGCCTTCTACAGAGGTGATGCAGACGTTGCGCGACATAGTGAGCTGTGGTGGCTTGGGTTGCTGGGGTTATGTTATGGAGATATACTAGTGTCATGCTGTGGTGACGCGCACGTAGGACGGCTTTTATACAAGATGACAACCTGCGTCATGGTAATATAATGACAAGATGTGCTTTCTAGCAGAGACTCGGGATACAAATGCTGGCCAATGGAAAGCATTTCCGGACAGTCTGTGGGCATGACCTAATAACTGATTACGATTCTCGAGACAGGACGAGACTCGCATCGCTGCATGAAACTTCTTACGCGGAGTTCGTAGAGACCTCCCAGCTCAGTCAGGCGAACTGTGAACTATTGAATCTACAATCCCGGAAGACGTGCAGGGACGACTGCTCTGATATCTCTATGGAGACTTGTGAGTCAATCCGGCTTCGCTCATGATGATTTATCATGAGCCATCATATAGACGAATGCCAAGCTTTGCGCCTCCCAAGGTCGCATAGCCCGCTAATATGTTCATGGACCATCGATGGAAAGGCATAGGAAACATTTGCTGAGAGACTTTATGCCTCTGATTGCTTCAAAGCTCCCAACTTCATGTTCACAAACCGTATGAAACCAGATCTCAGAACATGTGCGGAAGATGAGAGATAAAAGCGACAGCCTTTTTGAAAAAGTTTTCCCTTTGAGTGGGCGATGCATCTACATGACCAGAATCTGGCAAAGGTTGCACATAACACCTATGGTCCTCTGTTGCAGAAAACCAGAAGACCCTATGATGAAGAGATTGCCATTAGAATAGAGTATAACACGTCAGGAAGTTATGGAGGATGTAACTCATGGAGATATCATGTCACCAGTATCTGCACAACCACAATCTACGTACGGCCAACTCCTATGCCTCGGAACATCAGTCAAAATGATGATCTGTGTCGCCAATCTTCCAGTTAGCGATAGGAACGAAGAGGCAAAGTAGAAATGTTGTGAAACGAGAACGCAAAACCCAATGTCCAATTGATTTCATCACAAATGGAGCATTGGACACTTTGTCTGTGACAGCCAAACTAGTAGGCGTCCTCATCTGCTTGCTGATACACATGGCGTGCCCTGGACGGATCTTTGCGCATCTGTTGACCGGAGCCAGTAAAGCCCACTATTCAAACACTGCTTAGCGAATTACTCTGAGATCAAATAGAACAATGGCGCCTTACCCCGGGCATTAACCCCCTCTCCTGTCCGAAACATGCTCTCTTTCCGGCCCAGCTTGCTCTTGCTAGCGAAATCCTTCCACTTCATCTTACCGGCCTCAAGCTCGCGAGTAGCCTTGACTTTTCGGGCCACCTTCGAAGGGCGTGCAGACTCGTCGCCGACCTTGCTAGGCTCTTTGCGCGCCTGATTTGCCAATGCAGGGTTGATATCCGCCGCGGCCGAGATGACACTGGAATGAAGGGGTTGTGGGGTTGGAGTCTGGGATGAAGAGTAGCCTGAGCTTCCATCAGCCTTACGTTTCCGCGAATCAGCGTTGGAGATGGGCTTGATGTCTTTGGCTGTCAGAGATTCCACCGTTCCGTACGACTTGAACGAGACCAAGTAGACAGGGTTGGCAGATGAGCCTGTTATCGAGGTGATGCGCGCAGGATAGAAAGAGTTATCGCCCGAAACCCATCGTGCGAGGACGTGGTCATTGACGGAGAACGTAACCGGCGCAGGGGTTTCCTCCGGAGTTTCGGCAGTGGGCTTGCGATACCCAGCTTGATAAGCGGGGTGGTTCTCTTTTGACCATTTCTCCTTCGCTGGCGGGGGAGAGGGTCTGGCAGCAGACGGAGGAGCAAGCGGCTTGAGTTCGGCGATTGATGTTTCCGTGAGATTTATGAGTTCTTCCAGTTCAGTTTTAAGACTCTGCAGTTCCGTGTTGTCTGGATCTACCTGCAAACTCGATTGAACGGTTTCAAGCTGGAAGGGAGAGAAAAAGTCAGTTACCGAATCGTCGCATTCGTCGCATAGTAGACGGCAATACGACATACCTGTAGCTTGAATTCCTTGACTTCTGCCTCAAGGGCTGCAACATCCGACATGATCGCTGACTGACTGTGAAATGCGATGAGGGAGATAGAATTTCAACAAAGAAGACGAGTAGAATCTTCCAAGTGTACCACTGTGCTACAAAGAGCTTTTATGGTCACGGATTAAGATAAATGAATGCAGCTTTCCAGATGGTGGCTTTGAACAGAGGCAACATGGAGTAAGTACGGTGCATCAGGTTAGTGGATTCTTTGCAGATAAGGATAGCACGTGACCAGTCCTTCTTATCAAACTGTGAAGATCGTCATTGTCAGGACTTAGAAGTCCTTTTGATGTATTACTCCACCTTCATCCTCTAGGCAAGATCTAATATGTCGGATGAGTAGATACAGTTGTGACGACAAGAAGAGGACATCCCTTAATTATTCCATGAGTTCCAGATAATAGGTGGCATTACCAGTTCTCACCTGGGCCACCCGGTGATCAAGACCTAGATAGCACTACTCCGTACCCGGCAACCAAGTTCAATTGCCACTGAAATCTTAAATGGGCTTGAATACGAGGTAGTAAACCATGGGATCGATCAATGGACATCTCTGCGGGGAGTAAGGTACTCGACACCGCAAAGCCTAGATTCTCTAATGACTCTTTCGAGTGTTCTGGATGTTCTGGAATAGCTGGTGATAGAGATATGCTCTTCTCCTGGCAAAGGTCAACCTTACTCTGCACCTGTTTGATGCTTCAGAGTTCAGCCACTACACCGATATTCGGAACATTGGGATCGTCACAAATAAGGTACTTTTGGTGCAGTAGTGTATGCAAGGCGGTGCGAAACTGGGAATACGTCAACTGACAATGCTGAACTGTGAGTCATGCCTGATAGATTAATTATTAACTAAGCAAGTTAGTTCAGTTTTCCCAGTTGAAAGAGGGACGGCAGAGGAACACGATCGCACGGAAATAGCTAGACAGCATCTGATTGAGCATTTCCATGGACTATCGACTGAACTAGAAGGCTGGAACTAAATAAAATGGCTCGTGGAACTCCATCGGCACGGAGAGAATCAATATCCGGCCGGATGTGATTTCTAAGCACCGAGTCACACAATTTTTCCGCTCTAAAGCAGCGGGAGACATCAGGCAGAACCATTGGCCCCCGTCTCCCAACCTTTCATTGCTCAACCAATAAGGACTGCCAACAACTGACGCCGCCTTTTTGCGCCCGTTTGCCCCCCAGCATTCTATGGAAACATCCACCGTAAGACTGGCCTAAGGCGTTGATTGATTGCCTTGTGAATCGTCCATCGCCGCCCCCGTCTTCTTGGAAAGTGGAAAATGATGGGCTTCGGTTTCATCCTCGTACCATCTCCCCTCTCAGCCACATCTCTCTCACTACACCTACCCTCATCATCAGAATCCCCTGTCTCAATTCCCACTTCGAATCTCTCCATCTCCTCAGGCTTCTTCCTGGCCTGAATTCAATCATTCATATCCAACCGCCTACTCTCAATCGGACCCTGATTTGCCTCTTTCGGCAGCCCCTCATCGCCAGCTATCAAGCGGTACCGGCTGTCGATAGACTTGTGGCCGCGCCATTCCACCCTATACGACATCCTTCCATCTGACACTAGGCCACTAGGCCACTAGGCCACACTCTGGCATAAGCTCTTGACTCCTGCAACCTTTATCCTAAACTCACCACCTTGCCTTGACTTGACCCTTTCGCTACTACTGTCTTCCTCGTCAGCTCTCCTTCAGTCATCAATTCTTTTCTCTCACATCTTCGTATCTCATTCGACTCGCTTGGAGAGCGTGGAATCCGCTTTGCTGTGTCTTTTCTGGTTCTCCCACACTCCCTTTGTCTTTACGTCAACGGGATTGATGCGTTGTTGAAGCGGGGTGGAACCGTAAATGCTTTGGTGGCCTTTCCGTCTTCATCAGCATTTACAAAACCAGCACTTTGACACATTTTTTGGGCTCTCTACCGAAACGATAAACGGGCGCAAAGCCCGGGCATTTTCTGGTTGAGGACACCGATAAGCTAACAAACTCAACACTGCACTGTATTTGAACAAGCCGTCAGCAGGACAAACCATCACTTTCAATTGACCTGGATCATCATACCGTTATTCACAGCGATACGCCGCTTCTTTTCTTAGCTGCCATGGCGGACTACAATACTCTCTATCAACAAGGCCTTTATCTCTCCCCCGATCAACAGGACCTCCTCCTCGCGGCTCTCTCATCGAACAACCAGACTCAGAAACAACAAACAGTGACGCACAACTCCGAAGCCAATCAAAATCTCAATCACACTCCCGGCCATGCTTCGTCCGGCAGCTTCAGTGTTTCTCCCCCCAGTGGTTTGGACGGCTCGGTGAATCAGTCAACTACTTTCGGGTACGAAGATAGTCCTTACCTGGATTTGAATCCCGACTTCGACCTTGATTTTCTGGGCAACGAGAGTTTGATTGGTGATCTGCCCCCGAGCCTGCCTTCGACTGAAGACTATGAACCTGGTGATAAAAGAAAGGATATCGATGGACAAGAAAATGACAAGGAGGAGTCGGGCAAGAAGCGACGGGAGAGCGACGAGAAAGCAGCCAAAAAGCCTGGTAGAAAGCCGCTGACCTCGGAACCTACTTCGGTATGTTTTCTATGGTCCTTTTTCTTTCCCGCGGGTCATTGTGTGTAAATAATTTGACTTTTGCGGGTGCTAACATTTTCGACAGAAGCGCAAGGCTCAGAATCGCGCAGCTCAGCGAGCCTTCCGTGAGCGCAAAGAAAAGCACCTGAAGGATTTGGAGGCCAAGGTGGAGGAGCTACAGAAAGCATCTGATAATGCCAATCAAGAGAACGGACTTCTGCGCGCTCAGGTGGAGCGTCTGCAGGTAGAGCTCAAGGAGTATCGCAAGCGTCTTTCCTGGGTAACGAGCGGCAGCGGTCTCTCTCCTGTTAATGCCATCCCAGGTGCATACTCCAAAGGCATGTATGGTCTGAACAATAATGATTTCATGTTCGACTTCCCCAAGTTCGGAGATCTACCCGGTTCGCACTTGTTCGCCAATGCGCAAGTAAGCAAGTCGAGTCAGAACAAGTCGAAGGACAGCCAGACAGCAACTCCACGCAGTGAAGCTCAAGTTCCCGGTGTCCTCAACCGCAACGCTCTGAACAGCTCGAGTCCGAGCGGCCTTTCTAATGGACCATCACCTGTCAAGTCCACACCAGGCGGCCAGACACCGAGCTCGCAAACATCTACACGACCTGGCTCTGGTACATTGAACGGGACCATTGATAACCATGGAGCTACCAGGGGCTATGCGCACCAGGTCAATTCATCGTATAACGCGAACACAAAGCAGGCAACCCACGATACCCCTAGCTCAGACTCTCCATCATCCTCTTCAGATTCGCACCATAGCCAGCTGCTCTCTTCCAATGGAACCTCGCCTGAGCCATCTTTGCACTCGCCTGCTGTAAAGGCGACCGAGAGTAGCACTCCCCATGCATGCACCTATACCACCATCAACGGTGAGGAATCCTTCTGCGCTCAACTTGGTATGGCTTGTGGCAACATCAATAATCCCATTCCAGCTGTCAGACATAATAGCGAAAGCGCGTCAAACACCCCTAGCCATGCCAACAATTCCGACCAGGCTCTGGGTTTGGATCTTTTGGCCCAACAAAACGGAGGTCAATTCGATCCTGTGCTGTTCGGTGATTGGCGTGAGCCTCAAGATGCTATCTTGTCGCAAGACTTTGGTACATTTTTCGACGATGCATTCCCTCTCCCCGACCTGGGAAGCCCATCCCACAGTTTTAGCGAGGCGACCAAGCAACCAGCGGCGCCAAAGAAGGATCTTATCGCTGAAATCGACAGTAAATTGGATGAAGATGAGGAGGTGGTGCCTGGCGAGGACAAGTCGCAAATGCTCACCTGCAATAAGATATGGTATGCTTAATTTGGTCCCTTACCTCTAATCTCTTGCTAACTAATTTTGTCGTAGGGATCGTCTGCAATCCATGGAGAAGTTCCGCAATGGCGAGATCGACGTGGACAATCTCTGTTCAGAATTGCGCACCAAAGCCAGATGCTCTGAAGGCGGCGTAGTCGTCAATCAGAAAGATGTCGAGGACATCATGGGTCGGGTTAAATAGACGGCCTATGAGTGAAGTCGATACGACGGTAAAGACAGTCGACATCTTGTACAATTTCCGGCCAATTCTATGCACATCCTTTGGCGAATCCGGAGGCAGATACCCATGTTAAACGACGCTGCAATTGATGTTACCACGAACAATGTTTTAGGACTTAAAAGGGAGGTTGGGTGGATTTTATGGGACGTTCATTCTGAATACTTTTCCAATGTTGAGTAATCCTTGTTACTTTCGAATCTTCGCTTCCTCAAGGCAGCCATTTGTCGTTCCTGGTTGGTTTTCTCTTTATCCACTCTCTTTCATTGTGAAATCTTTCCTATCCCCGCTTAATGGCGCACTGGAGGCACGGAGTTGGGAATCACTACTTGGGCCTTGGTTTGGAAAGACTGTACATCAGCAACAGCCCTCACTTCAGTCGGCCATCCAACCAAATCGGGATTGGGAGTATTTGCATTCTTCCTTTTTTATTTAATTTTTGGGACTGGAGCTTCGGATTCTTGCTTCTCAATGTTCGGGAGATTGGACCGTAGTCGTGTCGTTGTCATTGCTTGTTGCTCAGCTCTTGTTGCATTTGTACAGCCCAAGCTGCGGGTATTTCAACTTGACATGACTTTTGTTCATAGCAGTAATACACGAGAAATGTATATTGAGTACTACTGGTGTATCCTGACATACAAGCCCTCGATCTATCTCTAACCTGTGTGACGTGCCCAGACAAACTCATGTGCTACACAATTGCATCTATAGAAGAAAACGAGACTGAAGCTACAAGGGTATCGATATTGGTGCGTACCAGGAAAGACTTAGAATACACAAAAGGTCGCTGTCGGTGCCCTTTCCTGTCTGCTGTTCTTGTTCTTGTTATTGGTTTCGTCTTTTTCCTTTTATTGCTTCC